GGAACGTGGACATACAATGGGTAAAATATCCAAGTAAAAAATTCCTTCCTGACCCTATTATAAGGCGATCGGTTACAAGTCTGTCCCTGGATCTGTATTCAATGTATTTCATATGAATCATTTACCCCATACATTACCATCCTCTTCAGATCCTGTTTAGGTCCATGCAGCAGATTATCCAGAAGGTTTTGGTTTGTTCTGATGAGTTTCTGTTTACTATGTAGTCCCAGCTCCACACTAACTGGCTTCAGATTGTTCAAACTCTTGTTAGATACTCTTAGATTATTATGATGCATGATGACATCACTGCTTAGCGATATCCTTATAAAGTAAATAAGCACATCAAATGTCTTGGGGTTGTTTATCCTTTACAGTTGTCTATAACTACAAATTGTATATAAAAATAAGTCTGTACAATTTTTTTTTTTTTTATGTTTTAATTTTATGATTTAATTTTTCTTTTTCAGTGACAATTTAATCAAAATTACTCTAATTCTTTGAAATGGTTTGGGAGAGGAACACTGCTTTACATATTCAAAGACAAATAGCTTTAACTATCCAAACATAAACTAAAGATAATCATCTATAGTCAGGGCCAGATTAAGAGCCCAGTGGGCCGGTTGCTGTCAATTATGATGGGCCTAATTACAAAATCTTATCGAACAAAAACACTAAAACAGTCCAACCTCCCAAGCGTCATGTATCTGATGGAGATGGTGCTAGATGCAGCTATTCGAAAACACATACCCTATGCCACTGATGGTGAACCTTTTTGAGCCCGAGTGCCCAAACCGCAATAGAGTTAAGTCTTCCTCTAGTGGCTGTCTGTCAGACACCCACTAGAGGGACTTCCGGGTTTTTAAAACCCAAAAAGTGTTTTAAACTATTCCAGCGTCGCCAGAGGCCATTGCCGCACATGCGTATTAGGTCTCTCCTGCAGGCTGGGGAGGAACGTGGTCGGAGCATGACCCAGTGCCAAGGGACATCGGTGCTGGATTTAGGTAAGTCACTGAAGGGGTTTTAACTCCTTCAGCAACATGGGATGGTGGGTGGGACGGGGAGGGGCACTGCAGGATCCTGCAGTGCCAGGAAAATGGATATGGTTTCCTGGCACTGGTAAGTCCATTTAACTCCACCTCAAGTAGCTGTCTACCAGACAGCCACTAGAGGCACTTCCAGGTATTTGAAGAACTTCAAGTCTGTTAACTGATACTGGACGACCTCACGGTCTGCATGTTTACATCCAATGTCAGCTAAAACCATATAGGAAAGCATTGATTCAATGCTTTCCTATGGGAAAATCCTAATGTACTCGCCACTCATTAGATCCCCCTTTGTCTGATGTTGACAAAGCCTGACCCAGGGCCGAGGGAAATCGGTGCTGGAATCATGCAAGGTTTAATACCTTTATCAGCTGCGTAGGGGTGAAAGGCGCAGAAATGTGCTATAGTGCTAAGATTACGAATTTGTATTCCTAGCACTATAGTTTCCCTTAAAGAACATGTCTATGAACGTATGTGTGTGATTTTACAAAAGATGAGACACAAAAGAATATTCTACAGCGGTGATGGTGTCAATATACATTTCTTCCCCAGGTGACATGTAACCTGGATATAACTCTGCATCCTACTTTCCCAATATGCAACCCTGGCAACGCATGCTTCATATTATAATACCAACATCCCATCCTGGGTAGCACTTCCAAACAATCCCCAGGAAATATTTGATTTTTAATATTCATGCTAATCTCCAGTTGTCACTTTTTCAACCCTGCCCCCATTCAGACAGTACACGGTCAATTCCAGTAATTCATGTGTTAAATCTTTGAGGGTTTAAAGACTGGAGATGTTTGGTTCCAATTTATATAATTTTAAAGTGATTAACCCCTTAACGTTGTTACAGCGTTCTATGCCGTCTCCATTATAATGGGCTTTAAAGCCATTGAAGCGGCATAGAACGCCGTAACGGCTATCTATCCCAGGAGCCTCCAGATACTCACCTTCCCGGCGATCCACTTTGGGAGGGCTGCCTGACAGCCCAGCAAGCCATCCTCCGGTAAATCAGGCCCCCAGGGACCATGTGATGGCTCTCAAGGAGCCATCACATGGCCCCCTATAGCTGGCTGTGGATCTGCCAGCAGGGGGACTGTCTGGGCTGTCAGACAGTCCCCCTGCTGGTGGGAAGTATAAAAAAAAAAAAATTAAACATGCAAAAATAAATGAAATGTATATATATATATATATATATATATATACACACAATTTAAATACATCTTATATATATATGTAGCGTCATACATAGTGTATTTCAATGTTAATATAAGTACATGTATTAGTATTAAAATACACTTAGAATGAAGTTACATATATATAAGATATATATTATATATATATAATACATATATTTTAGATTTATATATATATGTATAATTACACTAATAAATAAATAAAATAATAAAATAAATAAAATATTAAAAAAAAATATTAAAATTAATTATATATACATATGTAATTTTATTCTAACTGTATTTTGTTATTAATATATATATATATATGTATGTATATATATATATATATATATATGTAACAAAATACACTTAGAATGACATTCTATATATAAAATACATATAACCGCAAATATATATATATATATATATATATATAAATATATATAAATACATAAATGATTACATAAATGATTACATAAGTATACATGTATAATTTAAATACATATA